AAAACCTACAAATGAACTAGAAGCAGAAAACTATGTGAAATAAAGAAACGTGCAGCACCACAAAATGCACACAACAGATGACAGCAATCAGTTCATACCTATTGATAATTACAATCAATGGAAATGGAAATCATGCACAAGTCAACAGAGTAAAGGAATGGATAGAAAAACAGGATCCTTCAATATGCTGTCTACAAGAAACACATCAAAAAGATGGACAGACTAAATGCCTATCAACATAAGCAGCTTTGGTACATACATACAACACAATAATCCACAAAACACCTCACAACACGGATGAACCTAGAGGGCATTGTTGTTCACTGTCACGTTGGTTCTAACGCATAAGCCATTCTGTAATGGGGTGAGTCTGAACTGCCAACCTTGCAGTCCAGTGATTATCCTACAGTGCCACACTAAGATCCCAGAAAAAAATGAGCCATGCTGAGTGTAATCAGTCGATCACAAAACAACAAATATTGTGAGACCACTATGGTAAAAAGTTTAGGTTTTTTGAAAAAAGAAACATTTTACGACGGTTATAAGGAGAGGAAGGAAAATTACTCAGACTACAGGTAGACACATTAACACAGGTGACAGGAAAGACAAAATATGAGGTTGGCAGAGGAGAGACAAAGGGTAGCAGGACACACAGGAATGCTAAAGTTAAACTGAATGGAGGTAAACACTATTAATTGATGGCACGTGGAGGGAATTGCAATCGTTACGAAGTTTAAGATTTTGCTCAATGTAAAACTGATCTACTCTGTAAACCTACACTCAACTCACAAGTACAATAAATACCTGACATGTCACGGGGCGGGGGGGGCAGGGGGACAGTTCTGCTTAGTACACAAGCAGAACTGAAGCTAGTGTTGGGCCTATGCTAATTATAACAAATATCTATATGCAAAACCAGCCTTTTTCTTAGCTTCTAACTAGCGCATTTTAATAGTTTTCATTTGAGGGTTAAAATTAATGAGCAGGAAATTACTTTCTACCATACTCTACCCAGCAGCATAAACATCACCAGTGAACTTACTAGAAATGGAGACTCGTGGGCCTGGACCCAGTGAATCACCATCCACACCAAAATTGCCAAGTAATTCCTGTCTATAAATACAATCAAGTTGGACATAGGCATAGAGGATTCAAATGGCTCCAACCGTTTCAGTCAGAATGAAGAAGTAGGATGGTGAAAATGCAGGTTTGTAAAGGTGTCCCTATACAGGGATTTGCTTTTAATCACAGGATCAATGCACAGGATGGGCCACCTTTGTTTGCCTCAAACACAAGCAAAATCACAAATTTTTTAACCATGGGGAAAACAACCCAAAGGGGCTATGATGAAGCCAGAGACGGCAGTAGAGTTAAAGGGAGTTCATGCAATTGTCCAACACTGCCCTCATCTCCCCTCTTGCTCCCTTCAAATGCTTATTCTTCCCACATCCACTACTTAGACCTGTTTGCTGAAAACCTGTATGTTGCTATTGTAAAGTGAGCTCCTATTTACAACCCCAATATAGGATTCCAAGCAGCTGGTGGGTTTGAACTGCCGACCTTGTGGTTAACAGTCCAGCGCTAATCCTGTATACACCACACCTGGAATCCAAACACTGTTTATTGTTAAATGCCGTTGAGTTGGTTCCAACCCACAGCAACCCTATATAGTTGGGTTTCTAAGAAGCAGGTGGTATGTTTGAAGCACCAGCCTTGCAGCTCAGACCAAGCTTGTAGTCAAGTGCTTCTACAGCCCCACACCCGAACCCAAAACTCCATTATAAACACCAAAAACCCAATGCAGTGGTTAATCTCAACTCACAGCAACTCTTGACAAAGGAGAATTCCATCCGCTTTCCAAGGCTTTGGAAACAGACTGCCACACACTGTGGCGGGTTTGAACTGCTAACCTTTTACCAGTCAAGTTCTTAAACACTGAGTCACCAGGGTTCCATCCCAGTCAGCACTTCACACTCCTTTCCCATCTCCAGCCCCAAACTGGTTACTTGTTCCTTTAATAGTCCTACTAGCTCCTCTAGGAGTCCTGGTGTAACATTGCAACCACAAAGTTGGCAGTTCAAACTCACCAGCCACTTCTTGGAAACCCTAAACAGGATCTGAGTTAAAATTAACTCAATGGCACTTAAAAGTACCTCTAAGTCCCAGGATTTAGGGCTAGACTATCTAAAATGAGCATCCCCCATCCACATACTCTAAGCTCACACACTTTTTTCTAGGTTTGTTCCTGCTGAAGACACTGGATATTTTAGACACCATGACCTCCAAAAACTCTTCTGATAACACCATAAGACTGAAGAGTCCAAAAATCTCTACAAAAAGTGTAAGTCAGCAAAATTCACTTCTCTTCAGTAGCAGCAACACCAGAGACGGGGACATGGAGATAGAGAACAGCTGAGGACTCTAGGTTCATGGCAAGAGAGGGACCCAGAGCTGGCAGCCAGGAGGCTGACTTACAGAATGTATCCTTTGGTTGTTTAAATTATTATATATGCCTAAGTGTTTTTTAAAATAAAGCTAAAATGAATAGAAATACTGTTAAGTGATGGTACATGGAAGGGATTATAATCATTGTAAAATAAACTATGTTTGTTCAATGTAAAACTTAATTATAAACACTGAATTCACAATAAATAACTTTCTCTGAGAAAAAAATTTAAATGTCAACTATACACAGCAAAAGGAGCTTTGGTAGCGCAGTGGTTACAAATCTGGCTACAAACTGCAAGGTCAGCAGTTCGAAATTACCAGCTGTTCTGCAGGATAAAGATGAGGCTTTTGCTCCCGTAAAGATTTACAGCCTCAGAAACCCTGTACAGGCTCGCTATGAGTCAGAACCAACGCCACGGCACATAACAAATACACAGGGGGAAAAAATGGCTAGGAAAACACACATATATGTGTGTTGCTATGTGTCATGGCGTCGGTTCTGATTCATAGCGACGCTGGTACAGGGTTTCTAAGGCTGTACATTTTTACGGGAGCAGAAAGCCTCATCTTTCTCCTGCGGACCAGAGCTAGTAGTTTCAAACTGCTGACCTTGTGGTTCACAGGCCAATTTTTAACCACTACGCTACCAGAGCTCCATATATATACACACACACACAGAGAATACTTCTCAACATTTTGGATACTCTAGCAAACTTCAATCTAACCTCACATAAACCAGGCACCTAGTGCTTCAAGACCAGGCATTCAATGTTTCAGCTGTTACTCAGATTACAAAGGACTCATGCAAAACCCTCACCAATTACTAGGAGGGGTACTAATCCTAACTTGGAATGCAGCAACAAGCCCAAATCCCATCAGTCCTCTCACTAGTTGCTTTAATCCATTTTCAATTTCCTTATACAGGTTTGTCAAAAAATGTTTAAGATAATGCAATTTTTCCATGAACTTCTTGAAGCCCCGATGTAAAGGCAAGTCCAATCAATCACTGAAGCCTCATAAACAGCCCTTTAATGGATTTAAGAACTTGATACAAAACAATCCCAGTAACTAGGTCTATAAACAAATTCAATCTCCTTCACTCTTAAGCAGGATGGACCCAACACCTAAGTCTTAGCATTAAAATCCTATTAGACGAAGAATAAAGTCTGGTATGGATCAGGTCACTCAAACATCAAATTAAAGTAAAAAGAGACGAGGCAGTCTGCCCATGAGTGGGAGAAAAACTCCCACCCCAAGGCTTAGCACATGAACCAAGTTCATGAGCCAAGCAAAACCTGACCTGACCTTTCTCCAATCTACTCTTGGTTGGAAAGCATTGCCACTCCAGTAGGTTAACTATTCTTTTTGACCAGTTTTAGCCCCCCTGCCTTAAATCACCAAAGTGATGAAGCAACTCCTCTCTAGTCAACTGTCAATACACTTAAAACAGACCAAGGCAAACAGTTCCGAACTGAGGATCCCAGCACACATCACAAGCTGTGCAACTTCTGATGGTGTCTTAGGAACTAAATTGCAAGGTGCTCCTGGCTCGTTTTCAGCTTTGTACAAGTTTCATACCTAACAGTTGATATGGAAAGATGGATGCACAATAATTGAATTCAACTTGATCCGGTAAAAAAAAAATTTTTTTTGTTGTTTTTTGGGTAGCGGGCACATAAGGCTGAGATGAAAGGCAATACTCACTGGCCCCACCCTTTCCCTATGGTCACACTTACAAATTCTAAATTATCAACCCAGCTAACCTCTTCCCACTTTGTAGTCAGCATCCTCTTATAGCATGGTAAGCAAATGTTTGTAACAGAAATTTATTCCTTTCAGGTCCTTCCGGAACACTGGCTTTAGAATGGAAATGCCTTGGAAGCAGACGCCTAGGACTCAATTCTGGCTTCACCATTTTGACTCAAGGAGAACCACATACATGTTTGAAGTGAGTACTTTTGTTTCCCAAGGCTGAGGACTAAAAGTCCATAGAACCCCTGCCACACAGAAGACACTCAAATTACTCTTCTGTGTGCTCCCTTCTCTCATGGTCAGGGTTTGAAATATTGCCCCGAATTCTAACTTTTTGACTCTCATTCAGAAAAACCACTAACAGCATGTAAATAATTAAAAAAAACTCTTTCACGTAGTAGGACAAGTTCTGAACAATACATACAGGACAACAGATGTTTTTCATTTATCCCATTTGTTCTGTGACACAAAGTTTAGTCTGTATTTTCAAGGGTAACCACTTGACCACTTTTCCCTTAGACCAAGAGCAAACAATTCCCTCCAGTCTTCCAGTTCCTGCTAAAACAGGCTGATCTGAAAAAGGAGAAATTCCTACATTTCCTGGTCTGGACCTCAATCTTCCAAGAGTGAAGCGGGGAGAACAAAGTTTAACTAAAATGATGGTTTTTAATGGGAACCAGAGGTATGTTACAATTACATAGTCCAACACAAAAACCCATGGAGTTGGAAGGTTACAAAACAATCAGGGATAATGTTGGGTACGGGAAAAAAGGCTGCTCCAGGTGGTCCTAGGAGCCAGGCTAATACGGCCTCTCCCTGCGATCCTGTCTGTGCTCACCCCTGTAAGAAGAGAGTAGCCATTAGGTTTGGGTCCAAGTTCCTTCTCCCCCAACTCCCACCCCAAACACCTAATCAGACCTCTCCTACCAATCTCCACGTAAATAGACTAGACTTTTATCAGTTCCCTGGAGACAGTTTCCTTTCCCTCCCTCTTGGATCCACCTATTATCTCGCTCTCAAAATGAAATAGTTTCTCATAACAACACAGTTCACTATCCCAGGATCAACTATTCGTTCATTTCAAGAATTTCACTCACCTGGAGTCCATCTTGCCAGGGCCAAAACCACCTCTGTCCCCACCACCCCGGCCCCCTCGGAAGCCCCCACGGTCCCCGCCACGGCCTCGGTAGCCGCCCCGATCATAGCCTCCTCGACCACCTCTTCGGTCATCTCCATAGTTGCCCCCTAGAACAAAAGCAGCATGATAAATAAAGGCCTATGGCACCCCTCCTCCCTGCCCCCAAATCCTTCTAATATTCCCACATAGCAGCTCTGCTTAAGGATGAGGGAGGACCTTCCGATCCCAACTCCTTATTACCAGCTTTGCCTCTTACCCATGTGAGAGCCTCCTGGTCCCCCTCCTGGGCCATCTGGTTTGGGGGCCTTACACTGGTTGCATTCATTCCTCCAAGAGAAGTTCATGTTCTCACAAGTACTGAGAAAAAGGACATTTGATTGGAGGACTGGGAACAGGTTAAGACCAGAAAAAGAACAGACTCCAGTGACCTTGTTGCTAAGTGCCATGGAGTCAGTTCCAACTTGGAAGCCCTGTATAGGGTGAGTTTGAACCAACCATGTGGTTAGCAGTTCAGTTCTTAGCCTATCCCACAACACCAGCGTCTTTAGACACCTCCTCATTGAGAAAACTTGAAAGACAACACAACTTGCTTCTTTCTTAGAGCAGTCTACTGAAACCAGTGTAACATAACATCCCCACTACAGTCACAATGAAGTCCTGGTGTGGCACTGTCAGTTCAGCATTCAACTTAACTGACCACAGGTTGGTGGTTCAAACACTCCAAATGCTCCTTGGAAACTCTATACAGGGTCACTATGAGTCGGAAAAGACTCAACCATGTTTAATACAATGTTCACTATGTTCTTAGCTTCATCTGTGCAGCCTTGACATTTTTCAGTTGGGAAAATACACATCTCTACTGTATCAAATGACACACACAAGTAACAGAAAACTGTTAGGAAGACAGAGAAAAAAAAAAAAAAAACTAAAGACTCTGCAACTTACGGATTAGGGCACTTCCAATCCCCAGCTCGCTGCTGTCCACCACCACCACCGCCTCCACTGGGGAATCCTCCTCGGCCGCTGCCACCACCGCCACCACCTCCATAGCCCCCTCGGCCCATGGGTCCTGCACAACGAATATGAGATCTGTTGCTCTCCATTCAAGTTTGACAGATTTAACCTGTTGTTCCATGCAAGTCCTTATCCCACCCCATCTACTCCACCGGCAGGAAATGCACCTCACTCACCTCCCCGCCCTCGGCCTCCACGTCCATTGCCACCACCCCGATTGAAGTCTGCTCGCCGTGTAGCAAAGGAGACCTTGATGGGATTCCCAGAGAATTCTTTACCTACAGAAACAAAGGATGATAAATGAAACTGTTTATTTAAGAACAGTGGAGGTCCAAAATCACACTTGCTACAATCAAAGAGATTGCCTTCCTGATGAAAAGATTTAGTATCTAATAAGACACAAAAACAAGACAATAGAGACAAGGTGTACGTCCCTCACGCTTCTGTCCAGACATACCATCAAACCAATCAATAGCTGCTTTAGCAGAAGGTGGGTCATCAAATGAGACCGTTGCCTCTCCTTTCAGCTTGCCAGTTTCCCTGTCTGTGTACAGATTAATCATGGGCTGCCCTGTTTTCTTATTTGTCTGAAAAAAAGCAAGAGATGAGCATTAATTACGTAGGATGTAGCATTACTCACCTTATGCCAAAATCTGAGGTTCATCACTTCCATACTTCAGCCTCCTCCTCTTCCCAGTTTTTACACAATTCTTTAGCACCTTGCATATATCCTGCATTAAAGCATAGTCTACCAATTGTTCTTTAATACCACCAGATAAAATTCAAAATTACAGACACAAGTTCAAAACTTGGTGATGCTTCCTTTATCAAGTACACCTTTCTATATTAAAATGTCATTTAAGAAAAGGAATCACTAACATTCCATCTTGAACAAATTAAGTTGGCAATCATAAAGACTGGTTTGTTTTCACTGATGTGTGAAATTCAAAAGCGCCACACCAACAGAAAGCCTCCAAACTGTGCTCCAAGTACCTTAATAATACCAATCTGCTTGAAGTAATCAGCCACTGACTCAATTGTAACGTTCTCGCCCAGGCCTTGCACAAAGATGGTGTTGTTGTCTGAATTATCCTGTTCTGTGTGATGTAATACCAAAGGAAATGAGAATGTTAAGAGAAAAAGAAATGGTAAAAGTCAGTGACTTCTAATGACATAGCTTTAAAAAACATTTATGCCTTCCCACAAGAAATTATTTCTAAATGACTTCAACCTATTAGTACACCAATGTTTGTCAACTTCCAATCACAGACCCAATTGTAAGAATCCAATTTTACACTAAAATCCAGCACGGAAATATAATAAAAACAGGCTGTTCACTAAACATGTCCCCTATATAACTCTTCTATTTTGTTCATAAATCTGATCATGACAAAGAGTGTCGTCCTCAAACCAAGAGCATCAGTATCATCTGGGTTGGTTAGACCTTGTTCTCGGCTCCCCCACCCATTACTAAATCTGATAAATGATCAAGTTTATGACCTACAGCTAACTACAGCTACCCCTAAATCCCCTACCTTCATTTCGTTTCTTTGTACCCACTACGTTTTTAATTTTAAAGAACATTCATGAAGTCCCACTTAAGCCACTTTTATGGCATCTGTGGACTCACCAGAGTCATGACGTGATCCTTGGTCCCGAGGGCCTTAAATGACATGAGGGGGGGGAAAGAAAACAAGGAAAGGGGAGAAGTTCGTTAGCCAACAAGAACAGACAGACAAGGCATAAAAACATGAAATTCAAAATCTTGCAAATATCAGTAAAGTGCTCACAGCCTCATTCCAAAACCCTGTTCTGGGTTGCCTGCCTAGAGAAAATCCTAGACAGAACTGGGGAAGATACCAACCCCTTTCTTAAGATTTGTAACTTGAGTCCCCACAGGGACAACGCCACTCCAGAAAATGCTGCCTCCCCCTGTACAGGCTGGGAAATGTCCTCAGCAGAGGGGGGTTGGGGTAGGTTGGAGGAAGGACAGGGAAAGGAGATCCATTGAAGTTAACAAACCAACTCATATAGCTTGGCCCCGTTCTCTCGACCCAGAGAGACATGGGCTCACCAGGTGATATGCATCCATCCAGTTTCTCCAAAGACTCTTACCCCTTATAGAACAATTGAATTTCATCTTTAGAAACCATTCTCTTAAAACCATGTTGTGTTTCCCCAAAACCACATGAAAATATGCATACATAATAGCTACCTTGAAAGCATATCCCAAGGAACAGATCAGAAATCTTATTTCCATAATGTAGTCTCTTTTTTTCTAGAGACCATCTTTGACCAATAGTTTATCTGAATTCGTCATATATAAATATTGTACCCACACGCAAGGACCTCTAAAATCATGTACCCAAGCCTTTGGCTTTAAATGTTGAGACAAAAATCAGGAAACCTTGTATTAACCAACCAGAAAAGTTCCAGCTTACTAGGAGACTTCTCAAATTTGCCAGTTTTCCATGAATTCCGTTTGCACTGTTTAAGACCTGGTTATTTCCCATGAGCCACACATGCTCCCACACCTTCCTTCCCAGTGCTAGATCCTATTTTCCTATATTACCTGAGTTTTAGAACCTGTATGTACAATTGAATTGATACCATTCAATATTTAATAATACCAACTTCACCATCCTCAGAGTAGGGCAGTATTTCACGTCCCTCTCCCAGAATTAAAATATTTGGACATTACATACACACAGACACACACACTAACTTTAGACACACAGATCAAAAGGATCCTAAAGCCAAGTTGGCACCCCGTTTCAGTACACTCACTCTCACGGTGGTGCTCACTAAGTGCCAGGTGTGTGGCAACACCCCTGTCAGAGGCCTCCTAAACATCTTAGTAACCTGTGTAAACCAATGTGGTAACAGATGACAGCTGAGTCTAACCCGTCTGCCTCCAGCTTAGCACACATCTGGCAGCAGGTAGCAGTCTAGATCCCACCCCTTTTTCTGGAGGTGATTCTGGACACTTCAAAATTTTTGACACTTAAAAACACACTAAGACATCTGCAAATGAACAATAAGACAAAGCATTGTCAGGAGGTGGGAATTTTGGAAACTCTGTTCACTTACCACCAAATTTATTGAAGCCACCACGGTCACTTCCGCTGGAGAAGACAAGTTAGAAGAAAGGACATGAAGCTTCCAACGGCTACGAAAGGGTGTTTGATTTTAACATTCCCCAAACATGGGTAGGTGTTTTGGGAAAAAGGTACAAGTGGCTACTAAAATACATTCCTTCCTGACCACCCCTTGTCTGACCTTTGAGCATGTCACACACACACGTGTGCAGTTTCTCAGACACAGTTTTAAGATTTTGCTATAAAAGGTTATAATCTATTTCCTCTGAAAAAAAATGACCCATTTTCCTTGGCTGTTCTTCCGACGTAGCAGATGTTTTTTTCCTCTTGTCGTGAGTGGTTGACAAACACAGTAGTTGGTTTAAAAACCCTACTCCCGATTTAACCCAGAAGACATTTCACACCAGGCTGGGGTAGCCCTGAACACATTTTTTTGTGGTTTTTGCTTTGAAAGCAGCAAGCAGACCCAATCCCATTCCATAAAAAGTCAAAACCAAAGGCAATTTCCCCTTAAGCAAGACAGACTTAGCTAAGCCCTACCCTAACTACTGAGCTGCTTTTGATCTCCCCCCTTCTACACTTTGAGAAGAGCCGTATTTTGCAATGTCACCTTTCACACCTGTGGCACATAAAATGCAGAGCAAGTTAACAGTCACATAACAGTTGTTTTTCTTTTTAAAGTTTTGCATTAAACACACGCACAACAGGTTTTCCTTATTTTTGGTAAGATTTTTTGAGACTGCCCCCACCCACCTCTGAATACTTACCAGATGCAAACATGGATTTTTAAAAAAAGCAAAAAAACAAAACCCCAAAACCTCGTTTTTTTCGAAAAAAGAATACTGACCCTTCCTCCCATTTTCAAGGAAGACAGTCCTTCAGATCAGTCACCAACAGATCTGAGGACTGCTTTCACAATGAAATCAACTACAGTGGGAGGGAAAGACAGGTCCAGCTGGACAAGCTGACGTTTGTATAAGGAGCCAGGGAAGAGACAGTGGAGCAAATAGGTGGGATGCCACTGTCAAACCTACTTTACCCAAAAGGCTTACACACTTCAGTCAGATAACCCCAGAAACCAAGTCACACACAAAATCACTACTTTACTCAAATTAGTGCAAATCAAGCTTGTGGATCAAAAGACTCAGAATACAGAAAACTAGTCAATCCTGGAAGCTTCAATCAAGTTAACCATTGCCAAACTCCCTTAGAAACCACATGGGAATACAAGTATGAAGTTCCCGTATTTCCCAGCAGAGGGATTATCGGTTTCCCTTGCGGAGAAAAAAAGCCTTTTAATTCCACGTTTCTTGCCTAGGATGTGATGTAAGTGACTCCAATTCATACACACCTACAATTTTTCCTTTCTCTTTGGAAATAAAAGTATTAAAACTCAAATCTCTATCCAGAGGTGTGGATGAAATTCAGACTCCCAGGTTCTCACAAAAATGAAAAATAAAACAGGGATATATGAGGCAACAGTCATTGCCCCCAAATCAAAGCCCTTACAAATCACTAGAGAACAAGAAAACCAACCATGCACTAGGGTCTTGGATTAAGAGATTCATGCAACCTTCCACACTCCCCACCAAAGATTCTCCCTGGTGCCCAAGACACCTACCCCATGCCACCTCTGCCTCCGCGGCCACCTCCACGACCTCTGGGCTCATAGCCCCCACTGCTGCGGTTATAGCCGCCGCCGCCGCCGCCGCCGCCACCGCCGCCTCCTCCTCCACCACCACGGCCCCGGCCCCCACGGTCCTGCTGGCCACCGTAGCCTCCGCCACCCTGGTCCTGACTGCCATAACCGCCGCCACCTCCACTACCACTCATGGAGGACTGGTCTTGGCCATAGTTACCTGTGAGTAAAGAAAAGATGTAAACATAAATCACACGAGGAAGTGTTGACAGTGTCAGGGCTAAAGACAGTGGACACAAGCCAAACCAGCTAAGAAACAAGAAAGCAAGATTTTGAGGAAACCCTAAAAAGAGTCAAGCTATAGAAGAATCAAAACCCCTTCTCACCTCCAGCTCCTCCACCACCCCCACTGCTGTTGTACTGGCTCTGCTGTCCATAGCCCTGAGGGGGGTTATAGGAGCTTTGCTGCTGTCCATAGCCAGACTGCTGGCCATAGCCCCCACTCTGGGGCTGCCCGTAGTTGCTGCTCTGAGAACTGCTTCCATAGCTAAGAAAAAAGAAAAAACCAGAATCACACCCAAAACGGTCACTCTCAGTATATTCTGTTCTCCGTACCTAAGACAAACCCAAACACCTCCAATCATTCCTACTGCTAGTCACATAGCATTCCTTAGCAATCCACTCTAACCTTTCCCATCTTCTTACCTTCCCGAGGTACTGCTGGGAGTTGGCTGCTGGCCATAGCCAGGATAGGAAGACTGTTGTCCATAAGATGATTGGGAGCTCTGGCTACTGCCATAACCACCAGCTGAGCCATATCCCTGGGGAGCTGACTGGGTGCCATAGCCTGCTACAAAATGAAAAGGAAAAATGAGGCCAAAAGCTACGAGAAGATAGGAAATGGGTTGACGCAAACATAGGAGAGGACTGGTGAAGTTCATGGATAATATAACTGAAAGATTAGGGACTTTACTCCACAAACTTTGAAGCCTCCTTGCATATTACCAGCCAATGACTGAACTGTCTACCACATATTGTATGCCCTAACTCCTATACCTAGATTACATTTGTTAATGGGTTTTCTCTATTATACTGAGGTAGACTTAACCTTAAAAAATATGTCTTAAATAAATCCTTTGAGATATAAAAAGCAACCAAGTTAGCAAGCATAGATGGGGAGACCTATGAACAGAAGCAGAAAAGAAACAAGGACGGTCCTCCAGAGCAAGCACCATCCACTAGAGCCGGCTCCTTTCACTCAGACTTACAGCTTCCAAACTGAGAAAATGGACTCGTTTGTTAAAACAACCCTCTTGTGATATTTGTTACAGCAGCCCTAGGTTAACTAAGGATACCTAATGTTCACCCACACTTTAAAAAGTCATGCTTTTAGAAGCTGCTAGTAGATATTGCAACTCAACTCTAAGTCAACCCTTTTATTCCACCTAAAGGATGATGCTCTATCAATTCACAACATCTTAAAACAGTTTTCTCCCAACCATCCCAAAGCCAGTCTCCAGAAATACTATGTAATTATTGTAGCCCAAGAGAATTCTATTTATTAATGACATATTAATATGCTGGCGTGTGTACATCATATATAGGACAACCAACCCCTTATTATATCTATATCACATGACTTTAAGCAAATCATTATTATGCCTAAAAAAACGTTTCTCCCTTTGGGAAATAACTCTTCCCACGTTTCACTTTCCTACTGAAGGAGAAATGGGAAAAAGTCCAGCACACATTTGTTAAGTTTTTGTAAAAATTCAAAGAGAAATAAAAAGCCGCAATTACAAACCAATAGGTATTTTGGTTTAAAACCCAGGACTCTGACTCAGGGAGGTTTTGCATGCTATAGACTGATTATGGGGAAGATAACATGGGACAGTTTCAAAATATCAAGCTGTTCAGGTTAAGAAAAGCCACATTCAGAAAACGCAGTAAGAGGTGGGATGACCCACTGGAAGAAACTCACTGCTCTGGGTTTGTCCATAAGAACCATAGCTGCTCTGTCCATAGCCTGAAGTGTCAGATGACTGGCCATAACCACTGTAACTCTGTCCATAGGGCTGACTGCTCTGCTGGGAGTAGCCCTGCCCAGGTTGGGTGGGATAAGCCCCGTAGCTGAATCAAAAAAAAGAAGGAAAAAAAAAAAAAAAATCAGATTAGGAAAAGACACCTTGGTCACCCTGCCTTCAACAAATTCGGTCACCCTGCCTTCAACAAATTCTGGTAGCCCAGAAGTAACACTCACCTTTGGGTTGCTTGTTGAGTATAGTCTGCAAAAGGAAAATACAAGGTATTACCGTCAGCCACTCCTAACATTAGGATAAAGCTCAATTCCTTTAAACTCAATCATGTCCAAGGTAATCAACAAACAAGACTCAAGATCCATTCACTTGCCCTACGTCACAGAGACAGATTTGAATTTAAGTCCGAGGTAACAATGCAAGGAAGTTGGTCTCTGTGCTCTCACCCCATCGTGCTTTTGGACCTTTAGGCCCGATCCTAAAGATCAGCAAAAATGAACTTTCGGCGCAAAGTCAAGCAACCAAAATAATAAGAAACCCCCTCTGGGCCGCAAACATGAGCACAAACAGCAATGTGCCTGCCTCCAGAAGGAGCTGGTACTCAAGTTCCCAGCCCCTTGAATCTGAATGGCGCCGATTTCTCCTCTCCCTCTCCCCGCCCGCCAGCCTTCTGTGGGGCTCTGGAGCGGCCAGGCCAAACAAGGGGAGAGCTTTTATAACGTCCAATTTTCAGTATCCCAGCAAGATCAGCGCATCGATCCGTACAGGAAATAAAGCGCTTCTCCCAGAGGGAAAGGCAAATGGGGAGAGGGTGTGGCCTAGAGCGGCCTTTCCGTTGCCATCTCAGAAAAGCGCAATCTCGGCGGGAAAACCCTTGGGTCCCGTCTGCAAGTCCGTTAGTCCATCTCTCCCTACCTGCCACCACACCGTTAGGGTGGCGCGAGGCTCCGATCCGAACCTCCGCCCCGCGCCGCGTGGCAACCAAGGCGGGAAACGGAGCTGTCCCGCCCCTTCCCGCGGGACCCCAGGAGTGAAACCCACACCCGGGACACGCCGCGGGCTCTCCAGCCGAGGGCCTCGCACAAAAAGCCAGGCCAGCACGAGGCGGCAGGAAGGTGCGCGCCGCCAAAGGGAGGAGCCAGCAGAGCGCGTGCGCGAACCGAGTGCCCGGATGCAGCACTGCGACAAAGCGGGCAAGAGCGCGGGGCTGGAGACGAGAGAAAAAGGCTACGGAAACTAACCATTTCCATCCTTAACTACCGTTTCAGGTCACCAAGAAACGTGCTTCGCCACCCTCCCCACACCTACCTAAAGTAAAGGAAACACCCAGCCGCTCCATGCTCGCTAGGCTTCAAAGGAGCGAAACAAAATGGCGACATCGGCCTCCCCCTTCCACCCTTCTCCGCTGCTTCCCGCCCCAGTGGTCCGCGGAAACTATTCCACACGCCATCGCCAACCCAGTACCACCGAAAACCCAAAGCCTAGCTGTAAAGAAACGAAGTCCTGGGCTGCCGCGTAACAGCCATCTCGTGCCCTTACATACCGTTTGAAGCCATGTCCGCGCACGCGCGCACAAGGCAACAAGCAACAAGATTCCAAAGCCACCGACGCCTCGAGGACTGAGCAACCCCGCCTCCTGCGCCGAGGCTTATGTACGCCTCCCCCGCCTACGTAGAGCCAGGGAATGTACCAACTGAGGAAAAAAAAAGGATGAAATACTGGGTTCATACCACGCTCCAAGAAATATTAACAGTCTGAATTCCATAGAGAAAGCAAATTAACGAAGGATATTGATAATTATGATATATATTTAGTAATCATTTCCTATGGAGAACTCTAATTTTCTTTTCAGGGCTAGTTTATGATTCACCTGCCCTCCTATAAGGGCATTATGGTACGGTCTGATGACCTCCTTGGGGGCGGGGCGAAGGGCTATGGGCGACCGCGGACGCAACTGTAGTCGAGCCGCCAGTCGCTGGGCGGGAACCGAAATTTTTCTCTGTTCCCCCTTTCGCTGGGCCCCACTTTCACTCAGTACTGGGAGCTCTAGCCTTGCTTTGCTCTTCCGCTTTACCGGCCGCTCGGTGCCTCCTTGCACCTTCCCAGGCCCCTGACGTTCCTTCCCCAACAAACATGAACTCTCCCTGCGTCTCGGTTTTCACTTAATATTACATAGCTGCCTTTTCTCAGGTCCTAGAAAGGCTGTATAACGTTTAGCATGAATTTATAGCGCCGATGCTTCTCAACCCAACCTTAACGATTTTGCCCCTGACTAGCCATAAGACAGGAACGCCCAGGCCTCCCTAGACCTCAGAAAGCCCTGGGAGGAGATGAAGGAATCCCCGACCTTTTACGAGGGAGCTTCAACAAGTTCGTAGAAAATTTACATTATCTTTTAGTTTTATTTTTTCCACGAACTTTTTGGAGCTCCTTCTTATTTTCTAGACGTCCTGCCAAGAAACCATTTGTTGTAAGGGTTAAGTGGTTTCAAAAGAAGTACAAATTCATTGCTTTCCCATCACAATTTTGTGAAGAAAGTGAAAGGTATCCACGTATTAAAGGAAAGAGAGACTCCAGCCAAATATAATGTATGCTGTAGCATGAGCATTCACTGCTAACCCCAAGGTGAGCAGTTCAAGCCCACTAGCCGCTCTGTGGAAGAACAATGAGACTTTGTGCTCCGGTAGAGATTTACTGTCTCAGAAATCTTTCTAGAGGTTGTAGAGTCGGAGCTGACAAGATAGCACACAACAACATAATATATTTACAATAGCTAATATTTTGATGTAGTTGTTGTTAAGTGCCGTCGAGT